CTCCTCCTCCTCCTCCTCCTCCTCCTCCTCCTCCTCCACCTCATCCGCCGCCTCCGCCTCCCCCTCCGCCGCCTCCGCCTCAGCCTCCTCCTAGGCCGCCGTTGCCGCCGCCTCCTCCTCCGCCTCCACCTCCGCCTGCTCCTCCGTCCTCGCGTTTGCCCTCTTGGGCCTCCGCGGAGGCCCTCGTCGCCACGGCCAGGTTCGCCCCCGAGGGCCTGGTCCGAGCGCATTTCTGGGAGAGGCACGGGAGGTTCAGATCGGCCACGCGCAGAGGGGGGCTTGCTGGAAGGGGGGAAGGCTGCTTCGAGGCTTCCAGAGATCCAACGCATTGAAAAAAACAAGACGGAGGTTTTCCGCAGTTTTGGGCTTCTGATGGCCTTCGCCGGGCCCCGGGGCCGTCCAAAAATGATTGAGGATGAAAAGCTAGTCCTAGGGAAAGGGTCGAGACTTCTGGGGACCCCGTGTTGAAAACAAACACGACATCGGATCTCTGGGGAGGCTGGCTCTTAGAAGGCGCGGGCCTTCTCTCATTAAAGATGTAACGCAGGCGCCTTCTAAGAAGCAGCCTCCTCCTAAGGAACATCCCCCCCTCCCCCTACCCCCTTGTGCGCGCCGCCAGCCACAGGTGGCCCGGCTCGTGGTGAACTGCTCGCAGAACGGGAAGCAGTTGCTGCGGCTCCTGAGCGCCAGGGACGTGTCGACGCGCTACGACACGATGGTCCTGCTGCAGCGCATCTACCTGCGCCAGGCCGCCCCGATTAACGCGGCACTGCTGGCGGACCCGATGGCTCTGACGCACCTGATGCGGGTGCTGCAGGAGAGCCCGATCGACTACGTGCGCAACGAGTGCCTCAGCCTGCTGCTGCTCCTCACGGCCTCCGAGTCGGAGATCCAGACCATCGTCACGGTGCAGGGCCTCGTGGAGACAGTGTTCAACATCCTCGAGGAGGAGGACCTCGCGGCGGGCGGCAAGGTGAGCGACGGAACAAAAAATTCATCTGCGCCGACGTTTTCGCGCAAGTTGCCCGCGTAAGGTCGCGCGTGAGCGCCCTCGTCTCCAATGTGGCGTGCCGCGCGGGCGGCCTGCGTAAGGTCGCTGCGTTATCTCGCGTAAGACCCGTTTTGGACAGTCGCTCAGGTGTCGGGGAAGCGAAAGACTCGAGTACGCCGGGACTCTGGTCTGCCGACGCTTTTTGACGAGCGCGTCTTGGATCTTGACGGTCCCGTTTTCGCGGGATGTCTGCAGCGGGAGCTCGCGTCAAATTCTAGATTGGGTCTCGTCATTCTCATGATGGCCCCGTCAGGCCAACTCGAGTCACCTGTACCCGAGTCTTACGTCTCCCCTAAGGTGGCGCGCGACCTGCTGCGGGTCCTGTGCAACCTGCTCGGCAACGCCACCTGCCAGAGGTACGTGCGCGAGGCGGGCTTAAGTCGGGCCTATCCTTCTACAGGAGGAGTATTCAAAAATAGTCAAACAAGAGTCGGGGGACGATTTGTTTAAAATAGTTTTGCACCTTGTTGGAGCATGTTTTGACTATTTTCATTTGTCGTCCAACATCCCCCTGTAGGGGGCAGGCCCGACCTAAAGGCAGGCGGCATGTCGTCCCTGGTGGCGGCCATGGCCATGGCCATCTCCGGCCGCCCCGCGGAGGACGGCCCAGAGGGCGGCCCCGTCGACGAGGACGACGTGTTGCTGGCGCAAATGGCAGACATGGTGCCCGAGGATGGGGAAGTCAGAATACAGGAGGAGGAGGAGGAGGAGGAGGAGGAGGAGGAGGAGGAGGAGAAGGAGGAGGGTTGGAGGAGTTGAGGAGGAGGGAGGAGGAAGGAGGAGGAGGAGGAGGGGGAGGTGGAGGAGGAGGAGGTGTGAGGAGAGAGGGAGGAGGAGTAGGGGGGGGGGGGGGGGGGGGGGGGGGGGGGGGGGGGGAGGAGGAGAAGATGAGAGAGGGGGGAGGAGGAGGGGGAGGAGACGAGGAGGACGAGGAGGAGGAGGAGGAGGAGGAGGAGGGTGAGGAGGAGGGGAGGGGGAGAAAGGGGGGAGGAGGGGGGGGGAGGAGGTAGGGAGGAGGAGGAGAACCTAGGCATAGGATCGAGGTCGCTTTGGGGAGGGTGCCCTGCTGTTCCCCGTGCTCGTGGGATGCTCTCGTGCAGCCTCGGGGAGGGCACGCGGGCACCCTCGAGTGCCCTTCAGTCTGGGCTGGCGGAGGGCCTCGTGTCCTTGGAGGATGCGATTATGTCCTCGGTCCCTCCCCGAACGGACCTCGATCATATGCCTAGGTCCTCCTCCCTCCTCCCCCTTCTCCCCCTCCTCCTTCTCCTCCTCCTCCTCCCCCTCCTTCTCCTCCTCCTCCTCCCCACCCTCCTCCTCCCCCTCCTCCTTCCTCCTCCTCCTCCTCCTCCTCCTCCTCTCCTCCCTCCTCCTCCTCCTCCTCCTCCTCCTCCTCCTCCTCCTCCCCCTCCTCCTCCTCCTCCTCCCTGCCTCGGTCCGACAGTACACTGACCCCGCTACTCCGCGCAGCCAGGCGTGGCGACGGGGGCCTCCCAGGAGGCCCAGAGTGGACGAAAGCGAGGCGAGGACGGCGGCATCGGTGCGTGCGCCGTCGTCTGCTGGGCTCCTGCTCCAGCTGCGGGATCAGAGGCGAGCGCATCTCCCAAGGGTGCGTTCCGGCGAGAGCTCCGCGCCGGATCCGGCCGTGGCGACGAGGGCCCCCCCGGGAGGGCCCAAAAAGGCGAAGACAAGGCAAGGCTAGCGGTATCGGTACTTCTCTCCTCCTCCTCTTCTGCTTCTTCTTCCTCCTCCTCCTCCTCCTCCTCCTCCTCCTCCTCCTCCTCCTCCTCCTCCTCCTCCTCCTCCTCCTCCGTCTCCTCCTCCTCCCCCCGACATGCGACATGCGATGTCGTGACTGTTCGATCTGGTGTCCCCGGAAGTCCCGACCCGTTCCCAAGGACCAGCTCTTCATCATGGGTGTTTTTTTGACGGCCCCAAGGCCCGGTTAGGGCCCCCAGAAGCCCAAAACGGCCAACTAAATCCCGTCTTGATTTGTGTCAGGCCGCGAGCATGTCTGGGAATCCTCCTCCTCCTCATCCTCCTCCTCCTCCTCCTCCTCCTCCTCCTCATCATCATCATCATCATCATCATCATCCTCTGAGAGGAGTCGCGGTGGGCGTGCGACGACGACGACGACGACGACGACGACGACGACGACGACGAATGCGACGACGACGACGACGGCGGCGACGACGACGACGACGACGACGGCGGCGGCGACGACGACGACGACGACGACGACGGCGAGAGGAGTCGCGGTGGGCGTGCCTGGGCCTCCTGGCGGACGCCGCGCTCCTGCTAGCCGGCAGCCAGGCCGAGGCAACTGCCAACCAGCAGGCGCTGGTGCGCGCGGGTGCGCTCGGGCTGTGCCGGCACGTGCTGGACGGGCAGCCGGGCGGCCCGCCGAGGGCCTCGCAGGCCATGGCGCTGGCCGCGAAGCTGCGGCTGGTGCACCTGCTGGAGGCCCTGGAGGCCAGCCCGCTGGCCGCGCGGGCGCTGGCGGCCTACGGCGAGGATCGGGGAACCAAGAATGACGTGAGCATAAAAACTCGAAGGGTCCGCGCGGATTTCTCGGATCCGCGCTGGGGCCCCCTGGCGGCGCCTCGGCGCCGCCCCTGGTGCGCCCCCCGCGCGCCAGGGACCTCCGAGTTTTTTGTGTTTTGCCTATGCCATTCTTCGCTTCCCCAAGAGGAGGAGCCCCCGCTCCTATTCCTGCTCACCCGCGCGGTGGTCGGCCCGGGCGTGCCGCTGGGGCTGCGCAGCGCGGTGGGCCGCGTGCTCGGGCGCACGCTGGCGCGGCACGCGGAGCTGCAGTCGCTGGTGTGCTCGTCCCTGAGCCCGCAGCTGGAGCAGGAGCCGGGCGCCAGCGCGGCGCCCGCCGGGAGGCAGGTGGTCGAGGTGCTGGAGGCCGCCGCGGCCGAGCGCCCCGACGGCGTGCGGCTGTGGTTCTCGCTGCACCTGCTGCTCGCCATGCTGCACGGCAACGAGGCGGTGCAGACGGCCTGCGGCTCGCTGCCCGTGGCGGTGCCTGGCGAGGAGGACGCGGGGCCGGCCGAGACCCTGCTCGCGCTGCTGATGCGCGTGTTCCCGGCGTGCGCGCGGGCCTGCTCGGCCGCGGCCGCGGTCGCGGAGGCGGACGGGGCCCCCGTGCCCGGGCCAGAGTCGGTCAGGGAGCTGGGGCCCCAGTCGCCCGCCGCGGGGCTGCTGGCGGTGATGAAGGTGCTGGCCTACTGGATGTCCCGCTGCTCGGCCCCGCTGCAGCTCTTCGCCTCCTCCCCCGTCGCGATGCCGGCGGCGATCGAGCTCACCACGTTCAGCGAGCAGCTCGGCGCGTTCTTCAAGCTGCAGGTGGAGGGCCTGGCCGGTGTCCTCATGGGCGTCTGCATCAAGGCCGAGCAGGGCGAGGTCGACGTCAAGTCGCTGATGGCCTTCGTCGCCAGGAAGGTCGGCATCGAGGAGTTCGAGCAGAAGGTGGAGCGGCTCTGGCGCAGCGAGGCGCTGCAGAAGCCCCCTCGGGGGCTGGCGGAGTTCCGATGGTACGGCGGCCGCTACCGCGAGTTCGTGCGCGAGACGCAGCAGGCCGTGAAGCGGCGCATGGTGCAGCTGTACGTGGCCGAGGGCGTGGGCGGGGGCGCCTCGGCCCTGAGCGAGGACGTGGCCGACCACTACAAGCAGCTCATCCGCGTGCAGGACTCGGAGCTGCGGGAGGTGCGGAAGGAGAACGAGGGCCTGCGCTCCGAGGTCGAGGCGTTCATGCGGAGGGCGCTGCAGGCGTCCTCGGCGGCGCTGGCCGAGAAGACGGCCGCCCTGCAGGAGTTCCTTCCGGTGCCCTCCTTCCTCCTCCCTTCTTCCTCCACCTCCTTCCCCCCCCCATGAGAAAGAGGAGGATGAGGAGGAGGACGACGACGACGACGACGAGGAGGACAAGGAGAACGAGGACGAGGACGGGGACACGGAGGAGGGCGGCGAGAAGGATGGCAGGAATGCGAAAAAGCAGGAGGAGCGGGTGGGGGAGGGTAAGGAGGAAAAGGACCACAATGATGAGGGAGAGGAACGAGGAGGAGGAGGATGAGGAGGGAGGGGGAGGAGGAGGAGGAGGAGGAGGAGGAGGAGGAGGAGGAGGAGGAGGAGGAGGAGGAGGAGGAGTAGCAGGAGGAGGGCGAGACATGAAAGGGCGATGCGTCCACGGCAAGGCGTCCCAGTTACGCCACCCCGCGGGCGCAAAAGGGGACCAGGGAACTGGACCTGAAGCAAGATCTGAGCAGTGCTCCTCTATCGGTGTGGGAGGGTGGGCTGTGTGTTCCCCGAGGAAGAGAACGCAGCACTGCACGCCGAGCTGGACCAGCTGACAGAGGATGAAGGGCAAACAAAACACCCCCTGTTATGCTGCTTCTACTGCGGCTGGTGTTGATCCTTCCCTCCTCCTCCCCTGCCCCTTTTCTCCAGGTTCTCATCATCACCACCATCATCAGCAGCAGCACCATCGTCATCATCATCGTCATCATCATTGTCATCATCAGCATCATCGCCATCACCATCATCAACAGCATCATCATCACAATCATGCTCAGCATCATCAGCATCATCATGAGTATCATGAACATCGCCGCCATCATCATCATTCTCATCGTCACCAGCACCAGCACCATCACCATGACCATCACCATGACCATCACCATCATCCACTCATCCACTCATAAGACGGGGCTCTCGCTGGATTGATCATTGATTTGTCTGATCCTGCCTCTTCGCATTCCGCATATCGTGAAGGTCGTGGTGCAGCTAGTAATGCGTCAAACGGGGCTTCTCGCCGAGACGAAGTGCCCAAAATGCGATCGTAGTTCCAGGCGGCGTTCGCAGTGAAACGGGACACTTCTAGGGAGTCGTGATGAGGGGAATTGGAACGGGACGGTGCATTGCGGAGCCATTGATGCCTTCTGGAGATATTCATATGTATATATGTACATGTCATACGTATATATGTACATATATATATAGGGATGTATAGGTCTTTGTCATCCTCATCGATTCCCCTTGCTTCTACTTTGCTTCTGCTTGCTACTGAAGGGGCTTACGCAATTCCACCGACATGAGTGAGGCCTTTATCCCTTCTCCTCCTCCCCACCCACCCTTCCCATCATCATTATCATATCCCTATCTCCCTTGGCCTCCACATTATCCTTGTCCTCCTCGATCTGCATCCCTCCGTTGTTTGTTGTCTTCGTCTATATATATATATATACCTCGTTGTCTCTCTCTCTCTCTCTTTCTTGATCTGTCTTATTCCCCATCATCAGCATCATCATCACCATCATCAGCAGCAGCATCGTCAGCATCATCAACATCGTCAGTAACATCATCAGCATGACCATCAGTATCATCAGCAGCATCAGCATCATCATCATCATCCCCCTCAGCATCATCATCATCCCCCTCAGCATCACCATCACCACCATCATCATCAACAACATCATCATTGTCCCCATCAGCATCATCTGCAGCATCATATCCGTCATCGTCAGCAGCAGCAGCAGCAGCAGCAGCACAGCATCAGCGGCAGCATCATCATCGTCCTGGTGTTCCTCCTCATCCTCCTCCTGCTCCTCCCCCTCCTGCTCCTCCCCCTCCTCCTCTCCTCCTCCTCCGCCTCCTCCTCCTCCTCCCCTCCTCCTCCTCCTCTCCTCCTACTCCTCCTCCTCCTCCTTCGCCTCCTCCTCCTCCTCCTCCTCCTCCTCCTCCTCCTCCTCCTCCTCCTCCTCCTCCGCCTCCTCCTCCTCCTGTGGCCCAGCCTGCGCCGTTCAGTGCCCCACGCCCCCCCGAGGAGGCGGAGGTGCAGGCGCAGCGCTCGCGCCGCGAGCGCGACCGGTCCAACGCCAGGACCCGCGGGCTGCCCAGAGCCCCAGCCCAGGCTCGTTCACGGTTTGGGATGCACCCTCCCTCCAAACTCCCTCTTCACAGGCCCCATGCAAGGATATTCACTGCCCAGAGATCCAACGCATTGACCAAAATCAAGACGGCGGTGTTTACAAATGTCGGCCCCAGTGGGCCCTCGCCGGGCCTCGGGGCCGTCAAAAAACGACCCAGGATGACAATCCGGTCCTGGGGGATGGGTCGAGATTGCTGGGGACCCCGCATGGAAAAAAATCACGACATCGGAGCTCTGGGGCCCCCTCCCCCGCTCGGGGGGAGCCCAGACGACGGGCGTCTCGGCAGATATCGAGGCGGAGGCTTCTCCTCGCTGGCGGCCTCTCGGGACCCGCGCCGGGCCCTTGCCTGGCATCGCTCGGACGTGTGCATTTGTTCTCGGCGAGGGCCATCGAGGTGCATCCTTGATCATTTGGCGAAAAAGACCACGCGCGAAACTGAAAAAAACCCAGGGAAGGGACGTCCGAGCGATGCCCAGCCTGGGGCCGTCAACAAAGAGGGCCCCAGAGAAGTGGTCGGGAGGTCGGGGGCGAGCGCCTCGAGGAGAGCGAGACGTCGGATGTCTGGGAGGGAGGGAGGGTCGGTTCCCCGACCCCCCCCTTGGAGTCCCGAGAGAGGAGAGCACGGCGGGGGGTCCTTCTGCGATTCAAGCGGCCGCCTGGAGGGCCCTCGCCGTGGGCCCCAGGCCGTCGAAGTCAGGCCCAGGACGAAGGACCGGTCCGGGGGGAAGGGGTTGGGGGACCTCCTCGGGGGGTGGGTCGGGCACAGCGCCGAGGCCGAGAGCCCCACCGAAATTGAAAAGATCAGGATCCAGACATCGGGCGTCTCGAAAAAATCAGGACAGGAGGAGGAGCTGGAGGAGGAGGAGGAGGAGGAGGAGGAGGAGGAGGAGGAGGAGGAGGAGGGGGAGGAGGCGTAGGAGGCGTAGGAGGCGGGAGGAGAAGGAGGAGGAGGAGGAGGAGGAGGAGGAGGAGGCCCAGACATGTTCGCGGCCTGACGCAAATCGGGACGGTTTTCCTGCGTCTCGAAAAAGTCGGGCGTCTCGAAAAGATCGGGGCGGAGGCCTTTCGTCGTTCTCGGCCTCTCGGGGCCCTCGCGCCGGGCCTCGGGGCCGTCAGCACACGGCTCGGGACGGAAAGCCGGTCCCGGGGAAGTGGCCGGGAGGGGAGGGGGAGGAGGAGGAGGGAGGAGGAGGAGGAGGAAGAGAAGGAGGAGGAGGAGGAGGAGGAGAAGGAGGAGGAGGAGGCGGAGGAGGAGGAGGAGGAGGAGCAACGATAGGGGGGGCCAGGCCCGCCCGCGCCTCGGAGAACGATCGAGGCGTCGGATGTCTGGGGGCGGCGACGTTCCGCTGCTTTTGTTGGCCTCTCCGGGGGGGGATCGAGGAAGGCGCGGGGAGGAGGACCGAGGAACTCGAGGATGGGAATGACCAGGGAAAGGGTGCACGGGGAGGAGGAGGAGGCTGACGAAGAGGACCAGGGCCCTAGGGGGAGGACCCTGCGCGCCTCTAGATGCGAAGAGCCACCGGGTCCCTTGGGGCCGTCAAGAACTTACACACAGGGCGGAAAACCGGCCCCAGGAAAGGGAGTTTCGGGGCCGTGCCCCCCAGACGTCGGGCGTCTCGAAAAAATCGAGACGGAGGTTTTTCGTCGTGTTCGGCCTCTCGAGGCCCTCGCGCCGGGCCTCGGGGCCGTCAGCATACGACTCGGCACGGAAAGCCAGTCCCGGGGAAGTGGTCGGGAGGTCGGGGGCCCGCGCCTCGGAGAACGGTCGAGGCGTCGGATGTCTGGGGGCGGTGGCGTTCCGCCGCTCCTCGTGGCCTCTCCGGGCCGGGGGCACTCACCGGGCCCCGGGGGCCGTCCAGGTGGGAAAAGGAATTCGCTCGAGGAAAAAAAAAGAGTTTCGGAACTTCCGGGGGCCGCGTGCCCAGACATCCGACGTCTCGATGTTTTCAAGACGCGGGCCCCCGACCTCCCGACCCTTGCCCCGGGACCAGTTCTTCATTCCGAGTCGTTTTTTGACGGTCCCGAGGCCGGGCATGGCCCCGAGAGGCCGAAAACGACGGAAAATTGTCGTCTCGATTTTTTCGAGACGCCCGATTTCTGGGTATGTAAAACATCAGGACGTCCCATGTCTGGGGAGGGAAGGTCGGCCGGGCATAGCCTACGATTGGCGGACGTGCTTGCTGCCTGGTCCGACCCACGCGCGGCCGTCGCGTGCTTCCCTCTCCTTTGGAAGGGGGCGCCCGAAGCTCTGCATCCCTCGGTACCCCCCCAGACATCGGGCGTCTCGGAAAAATCGAGGCGGAGGTTTTTCGTCGTCTTCGGCCTCTCGGGGCCCTCGCGCCGGGCCTCGGGGCCGTCAGCATACGACTCAGGACGGAAAGCCGGTCCCGGGGAAGTGGCCGGGAGGGGAGGGGGAGGAGGAGGAGGGAGGAGGAGGGAGGAGGAGGGAGGAGGAGGAGGAGGAGGAGGAGGAGGAGGAGGAGGAGGAGAAGGAGGAGGAGGAGGAAAGCAGGTCCAGGGGAAGTGGTCAGGGGGTCGGGGGCCCGCGTCTCGAAAAAGTGGAAATGTCGGATGTCTGGGGACCGCGTACTTACGCCGCGCATCCTGTCCGACCCGCGCGCGGCCGTCGCGTACTTCCCTCTGGAAGGGGGCGCCGGAAGCTCTACCCCTCGGTACCCCTTGGGGGGGGCCGGCTAGGCTGAGCAGAAGGAGTCAGAATTGGCGAGCGAGCCCGGTCTGGGCCGCCCACAAAAGGGGAGGGAGGGAGGTCGGAGCCCGCTGGGGGAGGAGTCGATATCCGTGGCGACAAACTGGCCCAGACAGACCCCAGGAGGGTTCCCAGACATCCGACGTCTCCATTTTGTTCGAGGCGCGGGCCCCCGACCTCCCGACCACTTCCCCGGGACTGGCTTTCCGTCCCGAGCCGTTGTCTGACGGTCCCGAGGCCGGGCGAGGGCCTCGATAGGCCGAAAGCTACGAAAAAGTTCCGTCCCGATGTTTGCTCGAGATGCCCGATGTCTGGGTTTAGGCGACCGCTGTTGAGCGGATTTGCCTGCGTCCACCCCTCTTGATCGACTCTCTGGGGCCCAATCCACTTGAGACTCCACGGCCGCCTCCAAGAGGAAGGGAGGGAGGGGAGGGAGCTCTCAGGTCCTGGCGATGCAATGTTTTCATACCGGGCATTCTCGTCCGGCTTCGTGCCACAGGACCATCACACATCGATATGATCTGAGACATGCAGCAGGAAGATAAGGTCTAGGGCTAAGCCCATGATTTTCCAGGTGTGGCACTTTTGTTCCAACGTCGAATCTAAGGGAGGGAAGGCGGGATGGAGGGAAGGAGATGAAGGAGAAGGACCAGCAGAAGACAGGGGATAGGGGAGGAGGAGCAGGACGAGGAGGAGGGCGAGGAGGGGGAGGGAGGGGCACGACGACTAGAAGAAGGAGGAGGAAGAGGCAGCAAAAGTTTCGCCTGCTCCTCCGCTCTCGGGCCTTCTGGCCGGTGCTCGTCGGCACGGCTGGATCCGCCCCGGTGTCTCGGTCAGAGCACGCCCCAGTAGAGGTCCAGGGGTCCTTCGGGGCGCTGCGGGCGAGGCGCCACTCGGAGCTACTCGGATGACCCCAGTCCGCGCAGAAGCAGGCAGAGGGTCCAGAGCAAGCCCTTGATAGGTCATCGATGCTGCAGTAATTGCACGCTCCCATCCCAATCCCCCTCATCATCAATGCGTACGAGCTGTGAGAGTTCTGCTCCACGGCGGGATCTTCTGGAAGCCCAACAAGACCAACAATATTCCTCGACCATCCTCATCTGTCTTGTCCACCCTACCATCGTCGACTTGATGATGATGATGCTCATCATCATCATCATCATCATCATCATCATCATCATCATCATCATCATCATCATCATCATCGTCATCATCATCATCAGCACCATCATCGTCAGCATCAGCAGCATCATCATCTTAAGCATCATCACCAGCATCATAATCATCATCATCGTCATCGTCATCATCAGCAGAATCACAAGCAACAGAATCAGCATGATCATCAGCATCATCATTATCATCCCCATCAGCATCATCTTCAGCGTCATCATCAGCATCGTCGTCGTCATCGTCACCATCACCAGCACCTTTATCATCATCATCATCATCATCATCATCATCAGCAGCAGCAGCAGCAGGAGCAGTATCGGCATCATCATCATCATAATCAGCATCATCCTCATTATCATCATCACCACTACGATCACCATCACCATCATCATATGCATCAGCAGCATCACCAGCAGCATCATCAATAGCAACATCACCATCATCATCGACATCGTCATCATCATCATCAGCAGCAGGAACATCATCAAATGTATCATTATTATCATCATTGTCATCATCAACAACAGCATTATCGTCATCAGCAGCATCAGCACGATCATTACCAGCATCCTCATTATCATCCTCATCACAATCGCCATCATCATAATCATCATCATCAGCCGCATCATCATCATAATCAGCATCAGCATCATCATCATCATCATCATCGTCATCGTCATCGTCATCGTCATCAGTATCATCATCATTAACATGCTCAGCAGCATAAGCATCAGCATCATCATCGTCCTCGTCGTCGTCCTCGTCGTCCTCATCCTCATATCCTCATCCTCAACCTCATGGTCCTTGTCGTCGTCTTCATCACCATTGCCATCGCCATCATCGCCATCATTATCATCACCGCTCTCATCATCATCAGCAGCAGCATCATCATGATCATCATCGCCCCCCCTCTGGCACCGTCGATCATCATCCTTCCCCTCTCCATCCTTCACCACGCCCTCCCGGCCCCAGAATCCACGAGCTGGAGCAGCAGCTCCGCTCCATGGCCCTCGGCTACGAGCAGGCGGGGGGGGGGGCCGCCTCCGATCGAGCGCACGGCCCCGCCGCGGCCA